ATATTTTTATGGTTTATTTAACCTTATTTTATATGCATTGGTGTGAAGGTGTCAGATCCCCTGCAACTGGATCTTCAGACAGTTGTGAGCTGCCATGCGGGTGCTGGGAATTGAACCCAGGTCCTTTGGAAGAGCAGTCAGTGCTCTTAACCACTGAGCCATCTCTCCAGCCCCTCTTTTTTTTTTTTTTTTTTTCCTGAGACAGGGTTTCTCTATAGCTTTGGAGCCTGTCCTGGAATTAGCTCTTGTAGACCAGGCTGGCCTCGAACTCACAGAGATCCACCTGTCTCTGTGTCCCAAGTGCTGGCAGTAAAGGCATGCGCCACCACTGCCCGGCTTGTACATTTCTTTAGTGTGGTAAAATACATACAACATTTACTATTTGGACACAATTGCAGTCTGATTCAGTTATGTTTGGCTCCTTCAGCAGCCTGTGCCACCATCACTTCTGTCTGTTCCAGTACTGCCGTCTCTGCAGTAGAGGAGCACGCCCTCCTGCTCCCCAGGCCAGGGCAGCTCTGATTTGTCTCATCTCTGGTAACTGCCTTTTCACATTGTTCTGCTTGATAAATACCCCTGAGATGGGCCAACATCTTGAACTCATGATTGATCCAAGTTGCGGTATGGGTCAGGTCTTCATTGCTGTTTATGGTAGCATACAATCCCAGTAGGTGGGTGAACCACATTTTGTTGATTTGTTAATCTATTGGCAAACTTTTGGGTGTTTTCTTTTTTCTTTTTAAATTGTGTGTGTGTGCATATGCGCACCGGTGCTGACAGAAACCAGAAGACATTACTGGAACTGGAGTTACAGGTGGCTGTGAGCTGGGAACTGAACTCCAGTCCTTTGCGAGAAGGACTGGTGCTCTCAGCTGCTGAGCCAGTTCCCTGCCCCACCAGTTTCTTTGTGCTGTTGGGAATTGTATTGCTTTGAACACCGAGTTTTCTTTTGACCTTGCTGTCTGAATACTTTGGAGGTAGAAACAGAAAAATTTGAAATTCAGGGTTATCCTCAGCTACAGAGAACCTAGGCTACACAAGACCTTGTTTCAAAAGCCAGGAAGGCACCCACAGAGATGAATGGGTCAGGTAATACAATCCTATGAACACAGGGACCTGAGTTCAATTCCAAGCAGCCGGAGAGAAAGCTGGTGTAGTGAAACATGCTTGCAGTTCCATCACTGAGGAGGTGGAGACAGGAAGGTCCCAGTACCCGATGGACAGCAAGCCTAACCTAATTTGTGGCCCCAAGCCTGGCTCACAGGCAAGGTGGACAGCTTCTGAGGAGTACACCTGAGGTTGACTGGTTATCTCTCCCCTTAAACCCTTAAACCCCGCCCCCCCCGCCCGAGTTGGTCCCTCTCTCCCTCTTCCTCTATTTCCTTATTAGATGTCCTGAGCCCAGGCTTCCTAGTAGTCCTTAAACACATCTAATTTGATGTCACACCAGGACCTGTGTCCTTCCCAGTGCTTGCTGGGATTCAAGTGGAAGTTGCCTGAGAGCCACCTGCTCTAACCATTTGTCAGAACAGACTCGCTGCCTGTCCTGTCTTCCTACCACCTTCTGCCTGCTTTTTCTTTCCTTCTTTCTTTTTGTGGCAGGATCTTACTGTGTAGCCCAGGCTGGTCTCAAATGTGTGCTTTCTCTCCTGCCTCTACCTCCTCAGGATTGGGGTTATGGTTGTGTACCCCTCAAATCTTTTTTTTATGGTCTTTATCTCTCCCTTCTTCTCCCCCTCTCTCTGTTTTTCTTTTTTCTTTTTTTGTTTTGTTTGTTTGTTTGTTTTGTTTTTTGAGACAGCATTTCTATGTGTAGCCTTGGCTATCCTGGAACTCACTCTGTAGAGGCCCACACTGGCTTCAAACTCACAGAGATCTACCTGCATCTGCCTCAGAGTGCTGGGATAAAAAGGCGTATGCCGCTACTGCCCAGCCTCCATTTCTTTAACATAGGATTTCATTCTGTAGTCCCAACTGACCTGAAATTCACTGTGTGGCCCGAGCTGACCTGGGATTTGTGATCATGCCCCAGCCTCCTGAATAGCTGGGAATGCCGGCCTGTACCACTTAGGCCCTGCTCCTTTAAAAAGTGATCGTATTTACCATTGGCATCTGTGTGGATGTGGACACCAAATGGAAACCACAGGGTTGGCCTCTTTTCAGATTAGAGCCTGCAGCATATGTCTGGACACCCTGAGACAAACACCTCCTCTTCCTGCAGGCAGCTTCCTGAAGCACTCAACAACCCTTACAAACCGGCAGCGTGGGAATGAAGTCTCAGCTCTGCCAGCCACCCTGGATTGTGAGTAGAACTCAAGGAGGGGTGGGGCGGGGCTAAAGGATTCCTTACAAGCTTGGCATGGCACCCCATGGCCCAGCATTTTGGAGGTGGAGGCAGGTGGTCACAAGTTCAAGGTCTTCCCTGGCTACTTACTGAGTTAGAGGCCAACGTAGACAAAGACAAGCCATAAGGGATTGAGAAATATGGGTCAGTTGATAGACAGCTCCGCAGCATGTACAAAACTGAGTTCATCTCAAGTGCCTCGTAAACTGAGAATAGTGGCACATACCCATCACCCAGTAGCAGTGGCAGTTTCCGGTCATTCTCGGCTATACAGCAAGCTGCGGGCCAGCCTGGGCTACATGAGACCCTCTCTCAAAACAAACAAAAACCGGGATCAATTTTGAACAGGGTAAAGAGGCCTGGGGAGGGGTAGAATGGGTGAGCACTGTGCCTGTCTCTGGCCCCAGCACTGTCCGTCCACCAGCTTGCAGCACAGGGGGAGCTGAGCCAACTGAAGGACCATCTCCGGAAGGGTGCGTGTCCTGTGTGTGCTGGCGTGCACACACCTGTCTGGTAGGGGAACTTCTGTGTGAGAGCGATTTGTGTGTTTGTGTATGTTCTGTATATGTTCCCCTTCACGTGACCCCCAAACCCTGCCCACTCTACTCAGGAGAGCAGGCAATCTTACCATCCCCATCCCATATCCCTTCCCATATCAGGTGACAACCTGATCAACAAACCAGATGAACGTGGCTTCACTCCCCTCATCTGGGCCTCAGCCTTTGGAGAAATTGAGACGGTTCGCTTCCTGCTAGAGTGGGTATGTCCTGGGGGTGCAAGGACAGGCCGGGATTTCAGCTTCTGAAGCTGCTGCCCTCCTTGGGGACCCTGAGATTTCAGGGACTCCATCACTACCTTTTCTGCTTTCCTAGGGTGCTGACCCCCACATCCTGGCCAAGGAGAGAGAGAGTGCCCTGTCGCTTGCCAGCATGGGTGGCTACACGGACATCGTGAGATTGTTGCTTGATCGAGACGTGGACATCAACATCTATGATTGGGTGAGCCCCCGGGTGAGCCCCCTGGCTTCCGTTCTTGCTCACGGATGAGCCCCTGTGAGATGCCAGGCCTGCCCTGGGTTCTGGGATCGCAGGACAACTGTCACCACACCTGATAGAGTTCCCAGCCTCTGGGAGACAGATGCAGAGAGGATAGTAGAGCCTTAACGGGAGGCTGGGCCAGCAGCTGCAAGAGGCACAAAACAACTGAGAAAGTCGGGGAGGGCTGTTCGGAAGAATGGGCATCTAAGAGACACAGATAGGAAGTGGGTTGGATAGGCAGCCAGAGGGCAGGGCAGAGACCTAGCCTTTGTTTTCATCTAGTCTTATCCCACAGAATGGAGGGACACCACTACTCTACGCGGTGCGTGGGAACCATGTCAAGTGTGTAGAGGCCTTGCTGGGTGAGTAGGAGACCCCTTAGGAGTCCTAGGGTAGACAAGAGGAGGCAGAATGGTGTGCAGCTTCTGTGTTTGATCCAGTCAGCCATGTTGAGCACCCCCTCCCATGCCCCAGAGACTCCAAGTCCTGTTCTTTGGGTAGGGAAGCACTGCGGTCTTGCCACTCAAGGTCACATGGACAAAGAGTATACTGCAGAGCATTGTGGGGGCACCTCAGTCCTGCAGTCCCCAAGCCCTGTGCCCAATGCCTGTTCTGCTTTGCAGCCCGGGGCGCTGACCTCACCACAGAGGCCGACTCTGGCTACACCCCAATGGACCTCGCAGTGGCCTTGGGATTCCGCAAAGGTGGGCTTGAATACTGGGGTGGGCTGAGGGGCCGTGTGGGATGGTCACAGGGGGTAAACAGGACGCTCCCCGAGGATGCCAGGTGATGTCCCTTAGCACCCAGGCAGGCCCAGGTACCTCTTCATCCTGGCTCTTGGCATTTTGGGGCTGTGCTCATGATAAGGATGGAAGCCACTCTGTGGTACACACAAGACACTCAGATGCTGATAGCCCCAGCCTACATGTGGATCTTAGTTCCTCCTGCCACAGACACACCCTGCCTCGTGGTACTGGGCACTTTGCTGAGGCCACCCCAAACTTCTATTTCTGTTGCTATAATAGAATACAAGAGATAGGGTTTTGTTTTTGTTTTTTAAGTTTTATTTGGATTCATGGTTCTGGAGGCTGGGAAAGCTATAGTGGTGTGGTCACATTGGCTGAGGGTCTGGTATTGCTCTGACTTAGTGGATAGCGTGGGTGGGAAGCACCAAGTGGAGGATGGGCCTCTTCTTAAAACAGCCCCAAGGTAGCTCCACCCCACCCTGCTGGACCAAGGAGGGTCCCAGGCTCAGGGCTGGGCTGAGTCACCTCCTGGTGGCTACATTCTGCTCAAGGCCTCCAGCAGCCTCTCCCGCTCACACCTCCCCCTCCTGCTCACACCTCCCCCTCCTGCTCACACTGCCTCCCACCTCCTCCCACAGTGCAACAGGTGATGGAGAACCACATCCTCCAACTGTTCCAGAGAACTCTGGGGCCTGCAGACCCAGAGTGAAGATGGCCTGCTGGGGACCCAGGCACTCAGGGAATAAGCCAGGCTGCCCCACAACTGGCTTGAGGCAGCTCCCGGACAGTGGTGGGAGGGATCCTCCCCAACAGGAACCAATAAATCTGTGCAGAAGTTGAAGGGCTTCTGGGTGCCTCCCAGGGGTCTTCCTGGAGGTGGGCCAATGCTCACACTGCCTTCTCACCCAGCACCCGCAGGTGGTAAATGACCACACGACCAAAAAAGTCCGTGGTGTCCTCAAAGGTCAGCTTCAGCCGGTCCACCTCCACAGTAGGAATGGAGAAAGTGTGGCCTCTGTGGTCAAGGAAATGGTGACTGTTTCTGACCCAATAGGCCTCACCTTCCCAGTTCTGACACCACAGTCATGGGCCAGATGCTTCTCAACAGCACCACCCCCTGCCCCCACCACACAGGGTTTCTCTGTTAACAGCCCTAGCTGTCCTGGAACTAGCTCTGTAGACTAGACTGGCCTTGAACTCACTGTAGCCGAGGATGACTGCTCCTGACCCTCCTGCTTCTACCTGCACAGCACTAAAGCTCCTTGCGATGGCTCCTGCTCACGTGTAGGAGGCACAGTGTGGTTATGTGCCAGGCTGGCCCAGTGCTTGCACCACCACACCATACATACAAGCTACACCAAGGCCTTCAGAAGACCAGGTCCCTCACACCCCAGACCAAGCAGGATATTTGAAGGGCGTTGGTGTCCTCAGGGTAGAAGTCCACAATCTTACTGAGGGTGTCCCCACCTTGTGAACCTGCAGTGCAGAAAGAGGCTGAGAATCCAGGGAACCCCTTGACCCCCACCTCTTGCGACCTTCCAGTACCTTCCAGGCAGCTGTGGCGACTGGAGAAGCCGCCCTGGAACTGCACCTGCAGCTGTGTGATGTGAACACGATGGGGAAACTCGAGTGTCACCCACTGGGAGGGACCCTGGAAGCAGATGGGTCAACTAAGGGACTTGGTAACTGCAGGGCAAGTTCCACGGCTACAGCCGGGCCAGGAGGGTGTGGGCACGCAGTCCTTCCTAGGTCTCCCCAAAATTCTCAAGGCACCCTGCTCGCTGAATCTGCTTCACACTTGTGATGGAGGGACGTGGAAGCGCCTCACCTGGTCGGAATTCCAGCATGTTTCCTCATCCTCGTCAAAAAGATATTTCTTCCCAAATTGCCGGCTGTTGCGATTAAGCACAGAACTCACCCTGCAGGGCAGAAGCAAGGCTTTCACCGGAGCCACCCTCCAGGCCAGCCAGGGCCGCGGCCGCCTGGCTCCACCCCCAGCCTGCCCCTAACCGACACCAGGTCGGGACCCCAGCGATCTCTGCCTGGCCTCGCCACCACGACTCAGCCCCCAGTTCATCCGCCCCCTCCCCGAGTTCCACAGTCCCGAGTCTCACCGGCTCACGGTCTCGGGGCAAACCAAAGACTGGGTCATCGCGGCTTAGCGCGAGTTTGAACCCAGCCGCCGGCCCTCCCCGATCACCTCTACGTGACACGGCGGGCGATCCGGGAGCCGGAGAGAGACAAAAGCAGCTTCCTAAATTTTACAGCCTCGCTCAAGATGGTCTGCGGTTCTGCGAACCGAACACCAAGACCCGGAACCGCGTGCGAACGGCGCGTGCGCAGTGCAGTACAGACTCCGCCTCATCCTCGGGGCCGGCCGGGATTTGTAGTGCTTTTGGTTTGCCTCTTAAAGAAGCCGCACCCTGAAGTTTCTGATTCCTTGGAGCTGGAGGGAAATGGATACCGTGTCCTTCGCGTTAACAAACGTTCTCACAGCCTTCCTGTTGTGTATTCTGCGGAGGGCCTCCTTCGCCGTAGAGGCAATAATTCACAGGGCATAGTGGGCATGTGCAGTCCCTCCGGAGGCTGCTTGGCAGGATTGCATGTTTCACGCCAACACAGAAATTTTAGCAAGATCTGTCTCAAAAAAAAAATTTTTTTTTAAGTTTTATTTATTTATTATGTATATAGTGTTTTGCCTTCATGTGTGCCTACAGGCCAGAAGAGGGCACCAGATTTCACTATAGATGATGGTTGTGAGCCACCATGTGGTTGCTGGGAATTGAACTCAGGACCTCTGGAAGAACAGTCAGTGTTCTTAACCTCTGAGCCATCTCTCCAGCCCTCAAAAAAAAAAAATTTTTTTAACACACACACGTCTGTGTGTGTGAGAGAGAAAGATAATATATATAAAATGTATATCCTTAATTTATTTTGTGTGTTCTGTCTGCATGTATGTCCCTGTACCACATATATGCCTGGTGGTTGATGAGACTCCATGTGAGTGCTGAGACTCAAACCCAACTGAGTCAACTTTTAAGCCCTTAAATATGCTTTTTGAGACAGGGTCTTCTTGTGTAAAGTTGCCTGCTTGGAACTTGCTATTCAGATAATGGTCTCCTAAAACTCCCTCCAAGAAATCTTTCTGCCTTTGCCTCTTGAGCCCTGGGATTAAAGGTGTGTACCATCACACCCCCTCTCTGGGATTTAAATTTAGTTGTTTGTTTTTTTTTTTTTTCAAGACTGGGTTTCTCTGTAGCTTTGGAACCTGTGTCCTGGAACTAGCTCTTGTAGACCAGGCTGGCCTCGAACTCACACAGATCCACCTGCCTCTGCCTCCTGAGTGCTGGGATAAAATGTGTGTGCCACCACTGCCCGGCTTAAACTTATTTCTTAATTAAAAACATTTTATTGCTATTACTGGGTGGTGATAATGCACTCCTTTCTTCCCAGAACTTGGGAGGCAGAGGCAGATGGATCTTAAGAGTTTGAGATCAGCCTGGTCTACAGAGTGAATTCCAGGACAGCCAGGGCTACACAGAGAAACTGTCTCCAAAAACAAAACAAAGAAACAAAAAGAAATTTTACTTAATATATATTAAGTTTTTTCTTGAATGTTTGTATACCATAGATCCAGAAGAGGATAGGATCTTCTGGGAACTGAACGTGGGTCCTCAGCAGGAGCAGTACGTGCTCTCAACCACTCTCTAGCCCCTATACTTTTTCTTTTTTTTTTTTTATAGTTTTTCCGAGACAGGGTTTCTCTGTAGCTTTGGAGCCTGTCCTGGCACTAGCTCTTGTAGACCAGGCTGGTCTCGAACTCACAGAGATCCACCTGCCTCTGCCTCCCGAGTGCTGGGATTAAAGGCGTGCGCCACCACCGCCCGGCAGCCCCTATACTTTTTCTTACAGAGCACCACGTGTTAGGAATTGCTTTCTCCTTACCCATGTGGGCCCTGGGGACTGAGCTTGAGTAGCTGGGCTTGGCCATCCCCTCAACTAAGGAGATAGTTCAGTGGCAGAAGGGCCAGGAAGTGCAAGGAGCTGAGCCCCTTTGCCAAAAGAATTAAGTCTCTTAGCAAATGCTGTCCTAACACCTTATGGAAGGCTTGTTCAAAGATCCAGCATGAGGTGGGGTTTTGGTTTTTTGTTTGTTTGTTGTTTTTGTTTTGTTTTGTTTTTGTTTTTTGAAACAGGGTTTCTCTGTAGCTTTGAAGCCTGTCCTGGAACTAGCTCTGTAGACCAGGCTGGCCTAGAACTCACGGAGATCCACCTGCCTCTGCCTCCCAAGTGCTGGGATTAAAGGCATGCGCCACCACTGCCCGGCATAAGGTGGGTTTTATAGGATGAACAGGAGCTTGTCCCAATGGGAACCAAACCAAACCAAATGCAGACACCCCAAACCTCATGGGTTGGGGGATGAGCCACAGGGACAAACAGTCTGAGGAAGCAGGGACCCTTCCTGACAGAAGGGCTTTCTGGGAGGGACCATGGGGTGGGAAAGAGTTTCAGGCCAGGATTAGAAAAGTAAAAGCATAGAATCAGGTGACAGACCTGTGGAGTCACTTCCCACTGGGTAGAGCAGCTCCGGGCAGAGAGTGGAACCCCCACCTCCCTGAATGAATGCTCCCAAGTCAGAGCCATCCTTGGGGTTGAACGGTCCCTAATCTTTCCTCTTTCTACTAGGGCCAGAAGGATTTCTGGGCATCCACTAGTGTCTCCCCAAGTCCACCCCAGGAAGCAAGGCTGGCAGAGGAACTGGGTCACCATCAGGAGGGCTGCCATGCTAGCTTGTAACTGCCAGAGCTTCCTTGCCAGGACTTCAGTTATGGGTCCTGGCTATTCAGACTCAGTTTAGCCCTCCAAGGTCTATGGAGGAAGCATGTGTAGTTAAAAGCTTGGCTGTGTGATCTCAGACAAACATTTGACCTCTGAGCTCAGCTTCCTGTCTGTGAAAAGCAGGCTGTTTGGGTTGACGCCTAGCAACAATAACATGAGACGCTGGAGCTCACAGACAAGGTCTGTTTTCAGGCACAGACTCATCATTACCCTCCATAGGGCCTGGTGTCACTTCTATGGCACTGAATACAAAAACGTGTCCCCAGTGGCTGAAGGGACTACATACAGCCCCAGCCACCAGCCTTCCTTGATCACTCCTGGCCCTGGCATGAAGCTGCCTGGGCCCCTGGGACTTGGCCAGCTCCCTACACTCTTCCTGCCTCCTCACCCCACTGGCGCCTGGGCATGAAAGAGCCTCCTGTTTCACCAGGGAATTAGTAGTTCTGAGTTCCCAGCGAGGCAGCCAACATGGTCCATTCATCTAAGTCAGGGAGCCTGAGCACTGCCTCCTTCCCACCGCTCTCCAGGCTCTGAGCAGTGCGGGTGCCATAGGGACTGGATCTGTCCATTTTTTTTTTCCTGTTTGTTTGTTTCAAGACAGGGTCTCACTATGTAACTCTGCCTGTCCTGTAACTTACTCTGTAGACCAGGCTGGCTTAGAACTCTCAGAGATCTGCCTGCCTCTGCCTCCCACGTGTTTGGATTAAAGACATGCACCAGTATGCCTGGGTTTCCTCGTGTGTGTGTGTAAGTCAGGGTTGCTGGGCTCAAATTCATTATGCAGCCAAGAATAGCCTTAAACTCCTAGTCTGTCTCAGGTGGCTGGTGGCATTGTGTGTGACTGTGCACATAGGACCTTGGCTGTATTTTTGGACAATTAGCGGGATGTTGCTCCAAGACCTGACTGTCCAGGAGCTTCTACCACCCATGTGGCCTCTGGGCCACTTATCTGCCCTTCACCTCATCCCCTGATGGCAGCCCCGGAGTGCCTGAGACAGAAAAGGCCTTCCAGGCTGGAGGTGGGGACTTTCTGGACCCCAGAGTGGGCCTAGAAATAGCTCTTTGGGCCTCTCAGATTCCCAGGCTAGGTTCCCTCACTCAAAGCCCAGGCAACAGCAGGTCTGGGCCCCGGGCCAGCCCCTCTCTTTTCAGTCCTGGCACCAACCCAGGGATGGAGTTGGTGAGGAGCCGAAGGGTCAGCTTGGCTCTGGGGCTACAGACCAGATCCATGTAACTTCAGGCAGGGCATCCCAACTCCCTGAGCCTCAGTTTCCCCCAGCAAACTCCAAAATGAGCAACAACAAGATGGTAGCCCTGCTGGGTGTGGTGAAGTATGCCTCATTCTGGCACTCAGGTGCTGGAGGCAAGAGAAGCAGGGGACCAAAGTCAACCTCAGCTGCGGAATGAGCTGCAGGTCAGCCTGTGCTGACGATTGCAAAAATACAAAACAGTAACACATACACACGCGCGCACACACACGCACACACACTTCCTATTTCATTCCTGTAGCAATCCGTGGAGAGGACGTGTGCTCTTCTCTGACATGAGTGGACTGAGGGGAAGGAGGGCAGAGACGGCTGCTTCAGAGTTGCAGCATTAGAAGTGATGAAGACAGCAGATCCTTTCCCCTCAAGCATTCATTCTGTACATCTTTTTTTGTTTGTTTGCTAATTTGTTTCTCTGTGTAGCCCTGGCTGTCTTGGAACTCATGCTGTAGACCAGGCTGGCCTCGAACTCACAGATTCACTTGTCTCTGCCTCCCAAGTGCTGGGATTAAAGGAGTGTGTCACCACACCAAGCCAGTACATCTTCTTTTTTTTTTTTTTAATCAGTCAGTAGCATCTTCTGGTGCAACCATCCCATTGTTGTTACTAATGTTACAAGCTAAAGGGACTGAGAAAGCTGTTACTTTGTGTCAAGAATGTATTCCTACTTTCCATTCGTGTCCGCAGACTGTAATCTAATCTAGCATTTCAAAGTTGTGCATTTACTATATCTTTTTATTGCCTATATTTATTTGTGGTTTCGTGGCAGGGGTTTGCACTCAAATACTACATGTGGAGTCACAGAATAACTTGCAGGAATCTGTTGTGGATATTGTTTTTACTAGGTAAAGATGTATTACATTTGTTTATGCTGGCTCTAGCTCACTCGCTCAGCAATTACTCCCCTGTACCTGTTCTGGTGGAGATCGTTGACTCTGGATCAAAAAGAAAGCATATTTAACAAGTGGTGCTGGCATAACTGGATATCAACATGTAGAAGAATGAAAATAGACCCATACCTATCACCATGCACAAAACTCAAGTCCAAATGGATCAAAGACCTCAACATAAAGCCAGCCACACTGAACCTTATAGAAGAGAAAGTGGGAAGTACACTTAAACGCACTGGCACAGGGAACCACTTCCT